TCTTGGTGGCTTACCTGGTGGTGTGACACAAACCTGCGTTCCTGAGGGCTCTGAGTCACGGTTCACGTTGTGTATGTGGGTCACCGGCGTTGCATGCATTTTTCTGGTCTTCCTGGTGTAAAAGCAGCCCTACCTCCTGCTGGTCAGGGTCCATTTACGCTGACTAGGATGGTGACTTCTCCTGCCTGGTGGTCCCTGGACACAGGGAGTTCCGTTCCAAATGTCCAGGTGGCAGCTGGAGCTTGCGCTAGTCCCTGGCAAGAGTATATCCTGTTGGGGACCAGAAACTAACCCTGCAGAGCCCAGAGTTGCGGGAACAGGAAGTAAAAAGTCCCCCCTGTGGTCACTGGGAGTGACAGTCAGGGGACCACTCTTGCTTCCACTCTTGGTTCCTGGATTCTCGTCCTGTTGGGGGCACCAAGCCAGACACAGATCTCCGATTTACTGCATCCTGAAGGGTGGCATCCATCGCTGCCAAATATTGTCTCCTCGGTGCTGCTTCAGCTACACTCTGTGGGCCTTCCTGGCATCCCGTGAGGCCGGCTCTTCTGGATGGAGGGGCGTGGGATGTGGGCAGTGGGCTCCTTGGTCATGGGCCCCTCCCACACCTCTCACTACGAAGTGGCCCCTGGTTAGATGCTGTGTACTAGTATGTGGGATGTCATGCCTGTAGATCAGGCATTCATGAGCCTTTGAGGGCAGGAAAGGGAAACACCTCCCAGGAAGATATACCTAACAGATAGTCCTAATGTTTGGATGTCATTTGAGGTACTCTCAGGAAAAAAACCAAAATTCAGGACTTTGAAGAGTAGAGGGAGTAATCTGGATTCTAAGATACCAAAATGGAAATTATGAGGAAAATAAACTGATGGTGAAGAGTCAGCAGTTTTGGCTGGAGATATGGTTATTTCATTTCAGTGTAGGCTTGGAAGACTTTGGAACAGGGTAGGGCCCAAAAAAGTCTGAATGTAGAATTAAGGCAATAAAATGAAAAAAGAGAATCTTGCCCAATAGGGTTTTACCGATATTTTTTTCTTCTTTCTCGAAGAAAGACATCATTTTAGTGGCAACTCTTTTATTAATATGTAGAGCTGAAGGGACAGGTTTTGTAGAGTATGAAGGTATTGCTATACCCAAGTTCAGGGCAAGCTGATTTAACAAGTTAGCCTGAGAGATTACAGAAAACTTTAAAATGAAGTTGTTTGCCATGTTCTCATAGGCACATCCTCTTATTGGAACTTTCTTAGGAAAGATGTAGGATCATAAGGGGCACAGGACTGTTTCACCGAGAGGGGTACCAAGAGCAAGAAGGGAAGCATCTCAGAGTCCAGAGTCTCATATGAGGTGATGAGACTGTCAACTCTTGGTTCTATAAAGTGCTGTCAGTCTGTTCCTTACCACCCTGGCCATGACTTCTGTCTTTTCTCCTTGGTCCTATGCACTCATGTGCCCTGGCTGGATGCCCGACTTCTGTGACTCACTGTGACTGCTTGCATTCTCTGCTGTGCACAAGCAAGGACCATTCTTCGTGGATTGCAAACGTCTCTCTTGTGGGAGGACTCATTCTCGATTGGGCCACAGCATCTCTTGTGAAACAGCATTAGACATTTGCCACTGCTCGGCCGCTCTGGGGGAAAGGTCGTAGTACTTATGACTAACCATGGCACCACCTCTTCCTCCAGGCAAACCCATGGGTATTTCAAGAACATGTCATGGTCCTCTTTATGTTGTCCGTACTTGATATGATGAGTCAGTAGAGCAAGAACTAACAGACAAGGGCTTGATTAAATTGTCTTGATGAATTTTTTAAAAATAATTTACCTTTTTTTGGAACAGTTTTAGGTTCACAGCGAAATTAAGAGGAAGGCATAGAGATTTCCCATATCCCTCCTGCCCCCACATGGGCATAGACTCCCCTATGATCAACATCTGGCACAAGAGAGGCACATTCGTTACAACTGATGAACCTCATTAACATCATTATCACCCAAAGCCCATAGCTTATTGATCCTCGGGTTCACTCCTGGTGGTGTCCATGCTGTGAAGCTGGACACATGTATTATGACATGTATCCCCCTTTACAGTATCACACAGAATATTGTCACTGGCCTAAAATATCCTCTGTGCTCTGCCTGCTTATCCTCCCTCAAGCCCTGACCTCTGGCAACCACTTACTTCTTTACTGTCTCCATCGTCTTGCCAGAATGTCATATAGTTGAAATCATACAGTAGATAGCCTTTTCAGATTGGCTCCTGTCACTTAGTAATATGCATTTCAGTCCTCCATGCCTTTTTGTGGTTTGGTAGCTCATTTCTTTTTAGTGCTGAATAATATTCCATCATCTGGATATACCACAGTTTATGTAGCCATCACTTCAGAAGGACATCTTGGTTGTTTCCAAGCTTTGCCAATTATGCGTAGCTGCTACAAACATTTGTGTGTAGGTTTTCTGTAGACATCCTATATAATAAAGACCTAATATGCTAATTAGACTGAACAGCAGAATGACCATCCAGACGACATTCCGGACGACCATCCAGACGACCGGAGGAAGCCAGGGTTGCCAGGGCCCAGCCCCTTGCACGAATTTCATGCATTGGGCCTCTAGTGTTACATAAGCTTTCAACTCCTTTGGGCAGATACCAAGCACTGGGATTGCTGGATTATATTGTGTGTGTTTAGTTTTGTAAGAAATGCCAAAATGTCTTCCTTTTTTCCCTTGTCCCCCCCCCCACCCCAAGAAACTTCTTCCAAAGTGGCCGAACCATTTTGCATTCCAGCCAGCCATAAATGTGTGTTCTGGTTGCTGTACATATATTTTAATACAACTTTTTAAGAGTGCGCCGTGTTTAGAAGACTCGATTACATAAAAGGCGGAGTTTTTATTGGGAAACCACGCTTCCCATTTCCGGTGGAGCAGGATGAGGGACCACAAGGATATGCACAGGGGAGAGTGTGGTTCAGACGAGTCAGGGGCATGGTTTCTGAGTATCTCCTGACCTCTCTCTGGGCCCCCAGCTGCCTTGACTTCCGCCCACTTTGAGATTTCCCTCCCAGGTGTGCATCTGAGAGGTCAGAGCTGGGACCCCGGCCATGGAGCGGCCTTGCCCTGCAGCCCTGTGATGCGGGTGAAGATGAGGATCTGGGGTTGGGGGGTGAGAGGGTGAGGGAGCATCACAGAAGGAGAGGCCCAGAGACTTTCGTTAGGTCCCCATTCCCAGTCTCCACGACGACTATTAAGCGCCTCGGCCTTAGAAGAAGGCTTCTTGGAAAGGTGTGGCCAAGCAACTGTCAGGAACTGTTGGCTCTCCCACCCGTCATCATGGCCGCTCAGCCCAGGTCCCAGCCTCCTCCAGCCCCTCTTCTCGGAGAAGATGCTCCACCTCTAGAGACGGGCCCGTGCCAGGTCCAACCGGGCCAGGTCCTACCGGAAGTCCCGGGGGAAGGGCCTGAGTTGCCCCCACTCCGCTGCTCCAGGGAACCCGGGGTGTCTGATCGGCGTCCTGGGAGCGAAAGGAACCGAGGCCGC